GAATCCCATATCTTCTGGTGGTGCTGGCTCATAGCTGAAGATTGTGATTGAAGGAACGACTGCATCACCATCAAAGAATTTCTCATCAAGTTCATCCTTTTTCATCATGCTTTCGCATTTACTTCCTCTTTTCACCAAAGTGGTTCTCATCAACTCTGGTGATTCTTCCACTTCTGGAATGACTGTGGGGTCCACAAATCTTGAAGTCAATGCGCTTCTAACTTGCAGTCCATGCTCATTGAACCTCGAACCTGATTCCTTTTCCAAAGCTTCAGGTAATTGCGCCTCCAAGCAGCTTTCATCTTCATCTCGAAAGACTCTAATGCGGCCTTGAACTGTCGAAGAGCGATTTGGCAAGTTGAGTGGTACCTTCAAGTCACCGTTCTCCAACATCTGCTCTCTGCTGTTGATTCCCCAACCTTGTTCCATCAGTCTTCAATAGCAAAGTATGGGCTGATTCACCTTTGAACTGAAGGTCACATTCTCTTTGAGAAGAGCGTCACGTCCATCAAGGTCGTGCGAAGGGATGGAAAGCTGCTATGGATTCAGAACAGGAAAGACTTCAAGATGGTACAAGTACCAACAGATAGCAACATGGCAACATGGCAGACATCAATATCAAATCACTTGGACGACAAAGAACAAGATACTTGATGAACCTCATTGTGTATTGGCACAGTGAAGAGCAGACAAGAGCAGGAGAGCAGGAGAGAAAGGTGTATGAAAAGAAAAATAACTTTGCAGGAAAGGTCAAGTGCTTGTGAGAACGGTAGCGTTGGAGGGCTCGCAGACAATGGGTACAGAAGCGTTCATCAGTTCATCAGAGAGAATGGGAACATCCAGTGTGGATTGGAAGAATTGAAGGATCCAACGGGAACTGGAAATTTTGGATCACAGTGATCATCGTGATCAACGTCATTGGTTTTGCAGCAGTGACCTTCGTACTATTGAAGCTCTACAAGCCTATGGAAAGGCGCCATGCACGCGTGATGAAATACTATCTATCCAGTAGAACTTAAGATGTTTGAGCTTGAGAGTGTGCTCAATGGTTGTGAAGCTGTGATGGGCATCAGACAGATCTACTCGGATGGATTGGTTCTCAATGGAGGCTTTGTAGAGAAAGAGACACCAAACAGACAAACTATAATCACCTATCACGTGATGGGAGAGATCAACGCAGGAAACTTCTTAGCAAGAAGGAGCTTGGAAGACATGAGATCAACAGAAAGACAATATGAAGGCGTGTTAGAAGCAGCCAACCAAGGAGCAATACCTTCAGAAGGACCTTCAGACAAGGAAATAGAGAGCTATCAGTCAATGAAAAGTATGAGGTAGAGCAGGCAAGCCAAATGTGTGGTCGACTGGAAGCAAAGCTTCAGGAGCTCAGCGATAGACAGTACAACCTGTTAGGAAGAGGAGAAGAAGACGCAGCAGATCAAGTTGAAAGGGAAGGAGATAAGTATCAAGAATTGCTAGAGTGTGCAGTTATATGAGTAGAGACAACCCAGATAGACCACGACCAACACCAACAATCTCTGGAACCCCGATCCTTAGAGAAAAGAGCCTGTAGAGAGAGCTGCGTGGAAGAAACAGGACTACAGTGGCAGAGTGCTCAAAGTAGCAATTCGATCGCGCACACTGCCAAGAAGGAGTGTGAAGCATTTTCAGTACAGATCATAGTAGAGATATGTAGCATTACTGACATCATAGAGAGTACCTCTTTGAATCAAGAAAAGATTCGCGTACATATTTATATATATGTATACATACACGCATGGGGGCTGCAGGGAATGTCATACTTCTACAGCCCGCGAAGATGGCTATGACCATGACATTTTGTGATATCGCTGGAGACGTCCAGTGATGTACCTGCTGTGATGTCAAGTCTGCGTCGGCAGGCATGCATTTGCAAGGCTTCTTGTAGTACAGCGCTTTGGAAGTCGTAGAGACTGTTCGATCTTTGAAGCTTTTGGAAACGTCCTGAAGCTTCGGGACCCTGTTGCGTTGTGAACGTCTATCCAGGCCTTGGTTACTTGAGTTTCTGCTAGGCATTTGGCGGCCTTTGTGCGTACTTTATCTTGCGTGTGTGTGTGTAACCCTTGGAATCATAGGGATCCTTTCGGATTGTTTTAGCTTCACAGTTGTTTTCCTTGTGCAGCAGGGGGCTGGAGTGTGCTTCAGATGTCTCCAGCCAACGAAGACGCATCTGTCTCTGATATAGTTCTGGGACGCCAGAACTACGTACCTGCCTTTTTCAAACGGAATGGTACGAGGCTAAGCCCAGAACCTCGCTTGCTGCAGACTTGAGCGATCGTCGTCGTTTCGCCCTGTTCGTCGTCTTCGACCTTATGCTTGTGGCCTCCTTTCTTTTTAAGACCTCCAGGATTCGAAGGTCCTTACTGGTTCTCTTAGGAAATGGAACCCTAGGCCGGCGTGTGGCACCGCTTTCAGTTCAGTACACCCTTTCCTAAGTGTGTTTGGCCTCGTGCCAACCCGGGATGAGCCCGCAGAGTGCCTCCCGTGGACCCGTTGAACGGGGGTACGTCGCTATCTCCCCTGCCCCGAGATGTACGTGTCCGCAGCGGACAGTAGCTGGCTCATGCCACCAGAACTCCGATTTTGTCTCATCTTAGGAATTCCAAGTTGGCTCATGCCTTTACGTGACCGCAGCGGTCTAAGCAGCCAGCCGCTTCGGCAGGGCACAAGGTGACCACAGCGGTCAAAGTATTTTTGAGGTTCATTGGAATCTGTTGGGACCTTAGCCCCCTTCTTTCTTTCTTTGCTTCCTGGGGTTTTCCTGAATGCAACACTCAGGATCACCCCTCTCTTTCTTTGGTGTGTCCTTGGACGCTTGTTCGTAGCTGGGAACACCTGCCTTTTTTTCTTTTTTTCTCTCCTCTCCCTTTCTCTCCCTCTCTCTTTCTTTCTTTCTTTCCTTCTCTCTCTCCTTCCTCCCTCCTTGGGTGCTTTTTGTCATAGCTGGGAACCTTCTCCTCTCTTCCTTTGGTGTGTCCTTGGACGCATGCGTCGTAGCTGGGAACACCTTCCTTTCTTTTCTCTCCTTTTTCTCGTCTCTCCCTACCCCTCCCTCTTGTCGGCACCTTAGCTTGGGATACTACTAGGGGCTCCTGGCCTTCCTACTAGGTTACTAGGTGTTAGGTGTTTCTTTGACGCTACTAGAGGTTCCTGGCCTTACCACTACTTGGGGACGAAGTACACGTCGTTGCCTCGTTGATTGGAATTCTTGACATGCTTGGAGACGAATTACACCTGGTTGATTGAAGCCTTTTAGCATTAGAAGACAAGCTATCGTGAGATTCGTCGATTCACCGAGTCTCACACCACCTGTGGCGCGGAGCTTAAAATCTTGCCTCCCCTCGGGGAGGCGTGTGTGTGTAACCCTTGGAATCATAGGGATCCTTTCGGATTGTTTTAGCTTCACAGTTGTTTTCCTTGTGCAGCAGGGGGCTGGAGTGTGCTTCAGATGTCTCCAGCCAACGAAGACGCATCTGTCGCACAGTGATATAGTTCTGGGACGCCAGAACTACGTACCTGCCTTTTTCAAACGGAATGGTACGAGGCTAAGCCCAGAACCTTGCTTGCTGCAGACTTGAGCGATCGTCGTCATTTCGCCCTGTTCGTCGTCTTCGACCTTACGCTTTTGGCCTCCTTTCCTGTTAAGACCTCCAGGATTCGAAGGTCCTTACTGGTTCTCTTAGGAAATGGAACCCTGGGCCGGCGTGTGGCACCGCTTTCAGTTCAGTACACCCTATCCTAAGTGTGTGTGTGTGAGTGAGTGAGTGTATGAATGAGTGAGTGAGTGCGTGGGTGGGTGAGTGAGTCAGTGAGTGTGTGCGTGTGTGTATGTGAACCGCTATTGCACGCACTGGGACTGCGTCCAACGAAGCTACCAGTGAAATGGGATATCCAGCTTGGCCAGCTGGACGTACCTGCCTCGATGGTACCATTCATTTCCTATTGGCCTTGGCTGTTAACTAGTAACTTCAGTGCAGTCACGACGGAAATGCATGGATGATGTGTCCAATTCAGTGAGTTGGGAACTCTACTCACCATGTGTTTCGTTTAACCGTTGGTGTCGCCCGTTCATCTGTACATTGTAAGCAGTGGACTTAGGAGGTTCTGGGCTTTGACATCTTTCCAAAGTTCTTTTCACTAACCTTTCCCAATGTGAACAGGGTACATGCCAGACCGGGCGACACCGTCAAGCGCCCGCGGGTGACTCTAAAGATGGCAGGGGCCTTCCCCCAAAGTAGTCGGGGCCCATGGCGGAACCCCAAAAATCAGACGTCAGTAGTGACGGTGCTATCTGCTTCGGGCACATCTGGCGGTTTCTAGAAGCCGTTCACGAACTCGCCTCGAGCGCAGCTGTTTCGTACGGGAGCTGCCATTGTGCAGAATCACCTTTGGGAAACCTGTGTACTATTGAGCTCCTGCGGACCTGCGTCAGGTGCACACACACAGCACATACATGCAAAAATGAGGCATGGTTCTCTTAGGTTTGCTCTAATGATGTTTGGGCCCCTTCCATTTGTTTCCACTTTTCATCGTTTCATTTACATACTTTTCTTTCCCTCTTTCTTTTCATGTGTTTTCTGCCTTCATGTCTGGTCATCTCATCCTTTCCCTCTTTTGCGCGCACACTGGTCCGGCCCTTAGCGCGTTCGTGCGCTCGTGCATGTAACCCAGGTTTCATGTCGTTGAGGTTGTTACAAGGAGGTCTTGACTCATCGGTTGTCCCTGCACACTTGGTTCCTTGCTCATCGCAACCACATACACTCGTGTTGTTTTGTCCTCCATGTCTTCATCTCCCTATCCTTCTTGCCTGCGCAAGGTCACATCAGCCGGGGCCCTATTCAAACAGGGTGGATGCGCGGCGGATTTTGCTGCTGCTCAATACTTTGATGCCATCCGCATCTCGTATCGAGAATTGGCAGCAAAGCGAAAGCGACCAACAAAAATGCAAAGAAGCGGAAACCAGGTCAAAGTCGTTCTTGTCCTCGGTAGCTCTGCTTTTCTCCAATCCTCACGAAAGGATGCGATGAAGGTTCTCCACCTTCAGATGCGACGCCCTATGGCAGCACACGCAAACAAGTAGCCTAAAAGCGTCTATGGTAGACGCGGGCTGAAGGGGTCCCTGTTTCGAGGCGAGCGGGCACGTCAGAGTCTTGCAACGAACATTCAAAGGCCGAAGCGAACGAACCGACATGCCCCAAAAACTCTTCGTGAAAAGTCTCTGATCGTGCCGTCCTGGACTTGGAAACCAAATCCCGCCACGAAAGGTCCTCATCAAATTCGGCTTCCTCATCCGGCTCATGTGAGGTAGCCGTGGTGGAAGTCTTGCCCTTCTTCTTTTTCGCGGCGACGAATTCGGGATCGAAGGAGGCCGCCCAAACTTGATGTCCTTGGAAGAATCTGGTCAGCATCTCGCTGGCAGATCCCTTGGTGAGTCCATCAGCCAATTGACTGTCCGAAGCCACCCACAGCAAGGCTGTCCGCTGAGCCTCAAGGTGGTTGAACACTGCCATCAGCTCAAGTGCCGTGTATTTCTCCTTCATATTGAAGCTGGTTGTGTCACCCTTGCTCACACAGTCGTACACGGACTTCGCGTCCGTGATGATGGCTGCAGGCACATGCTGAGTAGAAAGTTCTGGATGCAGAAGGTCAAGTGGTCGTCCGAGAAGTTCTGACCATTCTGCCCGAACAAACATCAGTTCTTGTTCTCCTTCAGCCATTGCTTGAACTTCAGCTGACAGTGAGGAACGTGCCACACGAACCAACTTGTGAGACCTCCATGAGATGGGATTGACAAATCCTTTCTTGCCTTGAAGGTAGGAACGATGGACCATTCCCACCAAGTGTCCGCCCGTTGATGCAAAGTTCGGCCGATTGGCCACCGCAGCGTCCGTGTAGCACACGAATCCAATGTCATCCACAGATTCGGCTCCCAGTTGTCGAGTGGACACGGACAGGTAGCGCTGGTGGTGCAGTTCTCTGCTCAACTTGTTGATCTGGTGCAGGACATCTTTACCCCCTTTTGGAAGAGAGCTCTGAAGCCAAGACACTTTCGAAGAGTGCTGAGGTCCAGTCTGGATGGAGCGCCATTGCATTGCTCCCAGCAAAGCCCGAGCTTGATTCATTTCTTGAGCTGTGACCATCTCACTCTTGTCATCTATGACGATGGGGCGAAGTTCCTCCACGAAGGTGTGGTGTGACAGACGAAAACTCCAATCAGCTTCTTGAGACACACCAATGCCACAGTGGGTGAACGGAGTGGATTCCCATGGGCTCCATGAAAAAGCTCCCTTAAAGGCTTCTACTGTCTTCTGCCACAAGGGATGGTCAGGAGATCCGGAGATCAAAAAGTCGTCCACATGGCTTGCGACATAGCCGAGGGTCTCCTGAGACTTGGGATCCTGCAGAATCCAAACACAACCATCGGTGGTCAGGCGCTTCATGCCCAGCTTGGTGGTGATCGCATTGTTGACCTCTCCGTACCATTCACGAGGTGCTGAGACAAGGCCATAAGCAGCCTTCAACATCTTGGCGCATTCGCCAGGTTTGCAAGAGAGCTGTTCGGCCAACTCGGGAACTGGTGTGATGTAAATATCACGAGCTCGTTGAGTATCTTGCCCCTGCAAAAAGGCGCTTTTGGCGTCCGCCTTGGTGATGCTCCAGTGCTTCAAAGATGAAAGGCCCAGCAACAACTGTCTAGACCGACGTGTCATTGTCGGAGCTCCAGTGGCAAGGTCCTCCAGGTCGGGGTCCGTGTAGCCCAAAAGGACTATGCGAGCTTTACACTTGACGTGCTTCTCATCCCCGTCGATGGCCTTAAACACAAGGACCCATCTTGTGCGCATGAGCCTGGATCTTGGGACCAGACCATTGAAGCGTTCACAAACTCGCTGGCTGACCCATTGGGAGACCTCTAACATCTTTGCCTCCTTCATGCTCTCCTTCTGGGATGGCGAGAGCTTCTCCCAGGCCACTTCTGCTCCCTTTTGCACTGATTTCGCCACAAAGCGGCCGGGTTTTTTCAGAACCCTTTTCCAAGCTGCTTCGTCCTCGGGGATCGGAATGATCACGCTCAGCACAAAGTCCTGATCAACATCATCAAGCCATAAAGCCTGTGAGGAGGAGGCTGAAGACTCTAGTTGCTTCTTCACGTGTAATGGCCTGTCTGCCATCTCATGCTGATGCCGAGCTCGAAGAAACTCACTTCTCTTGGCCCCCAGGTCTTCCGTGGAAGTCCTCTTCATTGGCATGTAGGCCGGATCATGTAGAAGACGTTGAACGTCCATGGGCGTCTCCCGTTCTTCTGGCGGCATCTCGCTCTGGTTCAGAGGTCTTGACTCCTCTGGAACAGGGATGAGCTCTTCTTCGGAATCATCTGAAGTCTCTCTGATTTCTGGCCGAGCGGCAGGAACAGGAGGTTCTGGAAGAGGATCTCGCTGAGCAGGAGGTTGGTGAACAGGTGGTCCTCTGCTTCGGCTTCTCACCGCTGAGCGTCCCCGTCTCATCCTTTGGCCAGTTGGAGGTTTGTCTTGGATCAAGTCCTCGTACTGGCCCTTGTCGAGGGTTTGTCCAAGGGCGGTGAACGTCCAGGGAAGTGTCGGGGCCGAAGTTGCCTCTGCAATCAACCGTTCTCTCTCACTGGAATGCCGGAGTTGAGACGTGTGGGCCCTTTTGAGTCTTCCTTGGGCTATGATCCACACCACGTTGCCAGGTCGACGAAGAAGAGGATCCTCAGAGACTCGGGTTTCGCAGGCTAAAACTCGAGCAGGGCCAAACCACCGGAAATGACTTCCTTGAGGTAGATCAAGCTCTCGATGTGCTGTGGTATCCTTGGGGAACTTGTATCTCCGGTAGTAGACCAGATCTCCAGGAATGTACTGCGTCGATCGGTCTGGTTTGGCGTTCAAAGCACGAGAGATCTTTGCCCTAGCCTGCATCTTTCGATAGTGAGCCTCAGCATCAAGTCTTAGCTGAAGGTTCTTGTTCATCTCTGAGGTTGGATCACCAGCTGCGCTCAAAGTCGCGAGTCCAGGATCATCAGAAAGATCTCGGCCAAAAGCCCATTGAATTGGTGAAAAACCACTCACGCGAGCAAAACGATTATGTGCAGCGCACATCTCGTACGCAGCAAGGCGTGGTTCAGCAGAATTGTCCTGCCGGAGGTATGCCAGCATCTTCTTCTTCAGTTCTCCGATTGCTCGCTCTACATCTCCAGTTGCTTCATGATGTTCGGCAGGCACGAAGGAAAGCTCTATGTCGCGGCTCTTGCAGAAAGATTCCAAAAGATCACCTCTGAAAGCTCCTTCCAAATCACATCGCAAGCAAGCTGGGGTGCCAAAATATTGAAACCAGCATTGAACTAAAGCATCCAGAGTGGCCTGTGCTGTGATGTTCTCATGCTGTTCATCACTGTGCGACATCATCTCATGAACCACAGAGAAACCCGAAGCCTCATCCAGCATCAGGAGGAAGTGGTGTACTGCATCACCTTTCTTAAGGACGAAGGCGTCGATCTGGAGGGTTCGCCACAGCTTCTGCTCTTTCTCCAAAGACACCTTGGGCGATGGCTTCTTCATTGTGCCCTCAAGGCACTCCATGCATTTCAACTGCTCGGCAACGGCGAGCAGCTTCCCATCAGCTCCTTTGGCCGCGAGAGTGCGGACCAATGCATGACTTCCGGGGTGTCCACAAAGGCGATGAAGTTTCAAGGCCGTTTCAGCCAAATGAGCGAGCTCTTTTTCAGTGAGGGTCTTGAGGCCTTCTCTGTCAATCTTCACTTCAAGTGCCCCAAAAACTCTTGACTGGTTCAGGAACTCATTGAAACACCTGCAAGCTGCCCTGCACATAGCTGGAGTGTACAAGGCTGTCCTCTTTGCTAAATCGCCTCCCATCACTGGGGTGTGTGGATGCCGGCCATCACAACGGCGTCCCATTGAAGTCATCAGGCCCGGGCGTGATGACCGCAAACGCCAGGGCTTCTTCATGAATTCTCCCTGAGGCGACTTCAGGCCAAACTGGCAGCCGTCCAGCAAAACATCTTCGCATCTTCCAACTTCACTCAGGGCGTTCCACAGGTCCTTCACGATGTCAAACTTCCAGGCCTCATTGTGAAGTGGCCATTCCTGAACAATCTCTCCGCCCTGATTCAACTGAGCTTCGATCACCTTGATGCCATTCTTGATGAGTCGACGTGAGCGGGCCTTTCGGCGCTGACTGCGCTTTCGGCCTTCTGGGGTGAGCTCGTTGAGATGCTGAAGAGGTGAAGTTGCGCCGCACGGGAAGGCGACCCACAGAATCTCGGGTCGATGAAGTTGCACCAACCTAATTGCCTCTTGGGTTCCAGCGTCTGTGAGAAGATTGCACTGGTTGAACAACCCCATCCGACCGGGCTTTCCTCCAGAGGAACGCCATGTTCGGGTGATCAAGCTATCCTCTTCACAGCAGAGTTCCATGAGGTCCAACTTCTCAGGAGACGTTGGTGAGGAGCATGATGCCAAACAATCCTCAAAAGCTAGCCTTTTCTCTTGCAGCGTCTCCTCGATGAAGTTCTGGTCTTCCGGTGCCAAATCTTCTAACTTTTCTGGACCATATCCGTGCTCATCATCGGTCAACTGCTCCTCTCCCGGAGCCTCATAGTACCTCAAAGGTTCGAGCAGATAGTCAGGCACCTCATTCTCGATGTCGTCATTGTCAGGGACGAACTCATTCTGTTGGAGATCACTGCTCATTGCCATGGCCAAATTCTCAAGGACCGTGTCATTCTGTAAGAGCACAGTGCGAGGATCCATGTCCACATTCTTGTGAATGATGTCATACTTTGAAAGCACTGCTCCAAGATCCAAAGTTTCTTCGGCCTTGTACTGGATCTCGCCTACGTCTGGTCGGGGGAAGGTGGAGTTCCAGCGATGCTCCATGAAGCTTCTGAACTCCGGTTCTGGTACTCCAGGAGCTCTGCTGCATCTTCGGGTTTGCGAGCCTTCCGACCAGGCGTCTGGCTCATGACTTCCGGATCTCTCGGCGGCTCTTCCTTGATGTAGCCCTGAGTTGCCTTGGCCTTTGGTTTCGTCTCCGGCTTGCCTTGACGATGTTGCTCCTTCTGAGCCCGGATGACTTCCAAGCGCTTCATCAAGGAATTCTCGGCAGCGTCCAGGCCCACGTTCTTGTTGCGCATCTCTGGGCTGTAGGCCGCTGAGTTTCCCAACTCCTTCACCTTGGCTGCCGTGTCCGAAGGTAACGGACCTGCTGCTCTTGTCAGGCCGTGAGCTCCGTAGCTGGGGACATACAAGAGCCGGAGTTGGCATCGATTGCATGCCGCCCAGTATGCATGGGCGTTGGAGCCCGTCGGTGAGCCGCGACCCGGAGGAGCTGGGTCGTGCGTTCCTTGGCAAGGATCCCCAAGGAGCCTGGGGTCCCGGTGATCCGGGCCGCACATCCGGTCGGTGTCGAACCGGTTGACATCCACTTCGAACGTCCCAGCGGCATTCGTCACCTCGAGCATTTGCTTCTCCTTGGCTCGGGTGGATGTGGTCTTCTTCGGAGTAGTGGTTGCCGCCATGGGGAGAAGTGAACGAGGCAGTGGCAAGGATCGCTAAGATCCGCAGGCTCATGCCTAAATCCGAATTGCGTTCTTCAGCCAAGAGGGCCGGAGAGAAAGGTGTGGTACTTCCAAATGTCTCTTCCAAAACGATTGGCTCTTCTACGAACTCTGGCATTTGATGAAGCTCTTCAAAAACAGGAAAAAGGTTTTCGACCAAAGTTGATGAACTGTCGTGTGAACATGGTGGTTCATGGACTGCATGTACTGAATCACAAAGCACTTGACTGCCGATCACCTTGACCTCGTGGTGCCTTCCATGAAGTAGTTCATGAGGTAGGGAGGCCGTCGTAGTAGACGTGGAGGCCATAGTGGGACTCAAACATGTCGTGGTAGTCGAAGGATAGTGTGGGGCATGAAGCAAGACTGCAGGAAACTCCTCTTGAATCACGAAAATCTTTTCACCTTCAACAGCGTCAGCTTCAGCAGAATCTTGCATGAAGAGGATTCTTGCCCCTCCATCCAGCCAATTCGAGCACAAGTCCAACAGTAAATGGCCTGTTCTAGACCGTCTCAAGGGGATCACCAGTCGTGGATCCACCGTCTTCAACACCAGGATACTCTGGTGAACATCTATGATCGCACCTAGCCTCTCAAGTGTCCGAACTCCGATCAACAAAGGCACTCCTTTCGAATCCAGCGTGAACACGCCAAGATCAATCTCATGAGGGCCAACAGTTTGTTTCAGGTGCACATAGGATTCACTGAACTGAAGGGAACCGTTTCCAAAACGAAACATCTTCTGAGGCCCTGGGATCACAGTCACATGGTTTCCATGCCCAAGCAACTCGGTCCTCCTGAGGTGGATGAACTCCAGGGCCGCTAAGGAACTCACTGATTCCGTGGCGCCAGTGTCAAGGACACCATACCCTTGAAGTTCTGGCTGCAAGACCTCAGAGGAAAGAATCTGAGGGATGTCCATTCTAGGGCTCACTTCAGGGATCTCAGATTCATAGGGCTCTTCAACCTCAGCGACCATGAAGATCTTCCCAGAACCCTTTGAAGAAGATGAGGTGTTTGAGCGAGAAGGACAGTTGCGGAAGGTGTGACCTTTACTTCTGCACACGAAGCATCCGGTGTAGCCAGCACTGCCTGGAGTTCCGGAAGTTGCAAACACATCATTCGAAGGTCCGGGGCTCTCCACAACGAAAGTGGGCATTGGAGCCGACTTTGCACCCTTGCCCTTGGAGAAGCTCGATGGTTTTCCTTTGCCCTTGCCCTTCTTCGGGTAGAAACCTCTGCTCAAGTTCTTCTGACGTAGAAGGGCACGGGATTCTGCAAAGGACCTCACCTTTCCTTCATAGTTGGCGTAGGCCTCGGAGATCTCCTTTTGCTGTTCCGGCGTGGCTGACCACCACACTTGATCATCTTCAAAGTCGGACCAAGCCCAAAAGGTGCCGGCTTGATCTTGGGTGTAGTATTCGCCATCAGTGGCTTTGCTCCAGAAGGTGTAGCCTCCGTCTTCATCTTGATGCCAGAAACCATTGCTGTCAGGTCGGCTCTGGACTTCTGGAGTTCGAGTCGTCCCTTCATCCATCGAGGCATAGACGGTCGAAAGATCATGGCCAACCCAATGCACTGCACCATCTTCAAGCCACTCGTTCGCCTCCTGGTCATCGATCAAGAGGCCCCATTCACCATCTTGTTCAACCCAGAAGTTGGCTCTAGGTTTCTGTCGATGTGCACTCCCTTTTCATTTTCCTCGGCCTTCGGGGTCTCGTTCATGAAGTCGAAGTTCTTCCTCAGCGCCACGAAGACCTCTTTCAATGTCGTCGGCCTTCAAGCTGTTGCCAACTGATGCAAGGATGTTCAAGCGTTGTTGGGCGCTCAGGCTACTTCGACGAAGCATCAACCACCCAAGAAGTTCAGGTGGAAGGACTTCCGGAAGGCTCGAATCCATGTCATCCCAAAGTCGAACTCCCCACTGCATATCATCATCAGATGAATCAGACCTTTGGGACTTTTCCTTGTGCCCTCGGCCATGCCATTGGCGACGAGCATCACTCTCTTCTCCTGGGTCATCTCCATCAGGCGAGTCCGGGTACTCGAAGTCCATATCGTCTTCATCGTCTTCTTCTTCATCGGGTGCCTCTGGCTCAGGCACTGTCCTCTTGGATGTCTTTCGACTTGATCGGGTCGGAGACGGAGGAGACGATGTTGATGGCACCGATGGAGACCTCTTAGGAGTAGTTTCCTTCTCTCCGGAAGGATTGAGGGGTGCTGCTCTCTTCAAGGCACGTTGGAGTTGCCGGTAGTGTTCACGAACGGTGGCGCACCAAGTACTCATGCTCATGCCGAAGGGTCGACGGAGCTTCACTAACAACTCTTCTGCTTTAGCTCCAGCGTCAGGCACAGGAACTCGAGCAAGATGGGATTCCAAGAACTGGACGAGGTACTTTGCGCCATCTTCTTTGACCAACCTTTCATGGCTGATCTCTTGGGTGATCGTCCATGCACGTCCCGTCAGCTGGGACACCAAGTCTGCTGCAAGATGTTTTCGATGCTTCTTCTTCGTGCGGCTGAAGGCAAGCCGGACTCGCCGCACATAGTCCTGGAATGTCGAGACATCACCATTCCAAGAGCATCGAAACAGTTTCTCATCCTTTGCCGCCTCCATGAGGTTATTCGTCAAGACACGCGCAGTGAGTCGGGCAAAGGATAGTATTGGGCGTAGGTCCGCCGCTCCCGATCAGGTAATCGAGGGGCTCAATCACGAAGAGCAAGCGACGTCAGGTCCCGGAGCGAATTCACGCTCCGCTACCAATCTCGTATCGAGAATTGGCAGCAAAGCGAAAGCGACCAACAAAAATGCAAAGAAGCGGAAACCAGGTCAAAGTCGTTCTTGTCCTCGGTAGCTCTGCTTTTCTCCAATCCTCACGAAAGGATGCGATGAAGGTTCTCCACCTTCAGATGCGATGCCCTATGGCAGCACACGCAAACAAGTAGCCTAAAAGCGCCTATGGTAGACGCGGGCTGAAGGGGTCCCTGTTTCGAGGCGAGCGGGCACGTCAGAGTCTTGCAACGAACATTCAAAGGCCGAAGCGAACGAACCGACACCGCAATACACGCTGGATGTTTCGCTGTCACTTGAACAAGATTTTTGCTTTTGCAGCGATTCTTCCTCAGTGAGTTCATGCAGTGGTGTGGCATACCGACCATAAGCTGCCGATGTCTAGGTCTAGGCACGTTTTGCGGCTCTGTATCAGAGCATTCATGGAAAAACAACGCTCCATTCTGTTCTAGAGGTTGATGAAAGTCATTCAGTACATGTTGAGACATGTCATGGGGCCCTCCGTTGGGAGGCCCTTGAGTAACCAGAACAGTTTCTTCCAGTCTTTGCAGTTACTTCAGTGCAGTCATGACGGGAGATGCATGGATGATGTGTCCCTTTCAGTGAGCTGAGAACTCTACTCACCATGTGTTTCGTCTAACCGACGCTGTCCATCTGTACATCGTAGGCAGTGGACTTAGAAGGTTCTGGGCTTTAACATCTTTCCAAAGTTCTTTTCAATAACCCTTCCCAGTGTGTGTATTTGGATTTGGCTGAAATTTCAACGTGAGGTTGGGCGGCAAGACAAAGCTACCTTATATAGTGATGCGATGGTTTTAAGGGTGCTGGGTGCTTATGCATTTTTGTTGCGAAGTCCACACTTTGGACAGTTGTTTATTGCAGTCATAGTCAGGGGTTTGAGTTGCTTTATGACATTCATGCTCAGTTGCAACTGGCTTTCCTAGTGGATTGGTGACGATGTGTGTTGCAAGGAAACTCGCTGGGAGGCACTTTCCTAGTTTGCTAGTCGATTCTTCATTGTGGGAAGCCGCGCGAAATCTCCAAGGTCTCTCACTCAAAAACCCGAACCAAAGAGTTGTCCAGAGTTTTTTCCCTGCATCCTGCGGTTTGGTTTTCATGAGTTATTGTGTGGACATGAATTATTATGTGGATGTTTGGATTGTGGCTGTGACTGGCTGTTTTTGCTGCGCCCGTTAAATTTAGGGTCATTGGGGCAGCATTGTGTCCACCAGCACAACTTTTGACAACGCTTTGCAATGTGTGAGGAGTTGCTAGAATCACTGAGGACATGTAGAATTGTTTTTGTATGTGCAGAGCGTGCTATACTATACTGTACGAACACGCCTAGGCAGTCACTGGCTTTTATTCTCATCCATTCTGTGAACACTGGACTGGAGCAACACCTGACCAGTAGTATGTATGACAAAGTTTTAAGTTGTTTGCAGAGACCTCTGTCAGTCACTCAGAAACATCATGATCGGCAGGTGGCAAAAGGACTACAGCGTTTGTCTGTGGAGTTGGATGATGCCGCTGTCGCGTTTGCCTTACCTGGTGCTTTCCACCCTGCTTGGCAATGGAGCTTTGTCAAGTTCTTTGACATTGCAGGGAACTTTGGCCAGTGGGGACCAAGCCCTAGCCTTGGAGCTTTTGGAGGATCGCGCTGCCCGAGGTCATGTAAGGTTTGGTCCAAGACGTATTTGTGTGGTCCAGACACCCATGTGACCATGTGATATGTGATAGATGTGCCAAGAGGCCACGCATACTGTAGGAAATCGAAGGACACAAAAGAAATCCATACGAAGCTCAGTGGCGATCTTTGTCGCAGCCGGATCTTTTTAGTATTCCAGCTCCAAAACAATGTACAAAACTCAATTGGGACACTCCCTTGAAGAATTGTTTCGGGCAATGTCAAAAGGAAGTTATCAAGTCAGAACCTAAGGATTCAGGCAGAAACTAAGCGAGGATCTCAAAAGGAGCCAATAGCGGTGAAAAACAACTGTATAGTTAGGGTAGAAAGAAACATCAAACAATATTTGTCAAACAATTATTCCACCCCCCAAAGCCGATTCAACATTCTAGGTCTATAAACATTTCATCATCTCCCACTTGACTACTGTATTTTGGATTCAATAGGAGGCGTTTTGACTTTTTCTTATCTTGAAATGACCCATGACTTCAGGAGCTTCATACGGTATACCAACACTGGGCAGCGCAAGACGTGCCTCGTCATTTTGTGTGCATGAAGACGTTTTGGGGCAAGTCTGGAATTGCAGGCAAAAAAGCAGAGGCGGCCAAAAGGAAGACGTGCCTCTTTCTCAGTGCTATTAGGTTGGAGGCCATCGGTAATAGGTTGGAGGTCATTGCTATTAGGTTAGAGGCCATGTATTCTAGTAACTCAAAAGAACATATTGTTTTTTGTACTTTCTTGTGTTGTGTGGGTGTGAAAGTAGCGTTGGACATCGAAGGCACAACCACAGCAGGGACCCAACGGCTATTCCCACATGGCTTGAACCTCGGGAGAACCCACACAAGAGTCTAGTTTTAATATATATTATAATAGATGTTTCACATGTATTTTTTGTTTGTGACATCATCCATTCAAGATGAGCCTTTTTCCTGGTATAATCCCGTATAAATCCATCACAATTCAAGAGCGCTCAAAGAAACTGCCAGGTCAGACCAGGTGCTCAACCTGCTGGGGACCGAACGCGAAGTAACGTTCATTTTTCCCGAGAGCGTCTGCGAAGGGTTTTTCGTAAGAAAGAGTTTGTAGAACTACGTCTCATCTACATCTTCACATCTTCACATCTGCACATCTACGATTGCGCATCTGTATCACATCTACATCTCTGCTCATCTTCACATCTTCACATCTGCACATCTTCACATCTGTACATCGACATCGTCACATCTTCACATCTGCACATCTACATCTTCACATCTTCACATCTGCACATCTCACATCTGCGTATCCTGTCGCTCTTCTTTTCTTTCTCTCTTAAGGCCGGGGGCGGTGCCGCCGGAGCACCACGAAACGCAACCCTCTGCGGCGATCGTGCGTGTCGAGGGCGCGAAATACAGGTGAGATTGCGTTTTGGCTTGGTCGCGCGCAACCCTCTGCGGAGATCGTGCGTGTCGAGGGCGCGAAGTGCAGGTGAGATTGCGCTTTGGATGGATCGCGCGCCACCCTCTGCGGAGATCGTGCATGTCGAGGGCGCGAAGTGCAGGTGAGATTGCGTTTCGGGTGTGTCCCTGGCCAGATTGTAGTGCAAATGTAGTGCGGGAAAGAGCTTATCGGAGCTGGACTCAGAAGTGGCCAGTCCGTAGTGTAAATGTAGTGCAGGAAAGAGCTTTTCGGAGCTGGACTCTCAGACCTGGCCAGCTTGTAGTGCAAATGTAGTGCGGGAAAGAGCTTTTTGGAGCTGGACTCAGAAGTCGTGAGTTTGTAGTGCAAATGTATGCGGGTCGGAGCTGGACTCAGAAGTGTTTGCTGTGTGTGGGCAGACCGTGTGGCGAACTACGTTCGTGATGTCGCAGTGCCATGCGGATTTGCGAGGTCTTGGTGGGAAGTGCGTTTGCGTGGCGCCGTGCCACTGGGGAGCGCGAAACACGCT